CCTTTTTGTCTGAGGAGTTGCACTATTGTATGAGTATTAGTCATGGAAATTTTCAATTATATTTTTGTAAAAATAGTGGAGTGGAAGATTTTTTTACACTGTTGCGTTATTCCACGGTGAAGTTGGACACCCAAAAAATGCCCCAAAAATATCGAAAACCGCTTGGAATAAAGCCGAATTGTAATTACCCCACCAGAAATTTGGAAATGGCAGTAAAAGAAGTGAAAAATAAGATATTTTAAGTGTCAGGGTTGCAGGTGAAAAGTGGAATGTTCCAAAATTAACACTTCACAACTACCTTAAAGGAATTATAATAGTTTTAAATAAATTTTTAAATAATGTTAAATATTTTTTGTTATATTTTTATAAGAAATTTAAATTTTATTAATGATAGTTTAATAGGTTTAATACACATTTTTCAAACTCTATAAATTTATTTTAGAGTAAAACTGAAAGATTTCCTTTTTAAAAAACAATTTTTAGGTCTAACTCGGGCAATAGACCGTTCTGGAGCTGGATTTCCATTAATTTAAAGCTATGTCCAACTTCACCCCTTTCTGCCGGGTGAAGTTGGACAACCGTTATCAAAAAATATATAAAAAACTAAAATCAAAATACAAACTTTAATTATACCACGCAATAGAATACACCTTGGCCTACCTACATGATTTTCCTCAGAATTTTTGACATATCGGACCCAGAAATAGAGTAAAATAATCGAAAAATTCGTCCAACATCACCCCTGTTGACGGTACTTCCCCACTATTGGGACGACAGCTGTGCGGCAGGCACCGTTAGCTTTGCTAGGTCTTAGCATATTTTTACCAGTTGAAGCCATGGAACTGTGGACGGTAGAACACCGCGTTTTTGTCTATGACAGTTTCATCGCGAAACACCATTCTTCGTTTAGTTTAAGCACTGCATACACGAGGTGTTTTGACGAATAGAAGACCTCTAGGAGTTCCATGAACGGTTCGAACCTCTGAAAATGTCGAACCTGTTCGACAAGCCTTTCTGCGCAGTTCATGCATGCTGCTGAACTTGGCATCAGTGATCGTTCGGTAAGGTGTATTTTGCATCTGGATTTTCACCCCTACAAATTGGTCATTGTGCAACAGTTGCAGCCTGAGGATTACGCACAACGACTGACCTTCATGCGTGAGATGGAAGCACTTTTAGAGCAAAATAAGAACCTCATTTTGTTAATGAGTGATGAAGCTCATTTTCATCTCAATGGCATGGTGAATCAACAGAACTTGCGTTACTGGGCTGATGAAAATCCGAGAACATTACATGAAAAACCATTACATAGTGCGAAAGTGACAGCTTGGTGCGCTATAGGCAAAACTTGCATCATTGGCCCTTATTTTTTTTGAAGATGATAATGGGAATGCTATTACCGTCAATTCGGAGCACTATGTCGAGATGATCAACAACTTCTTTTTGAATTACGACGAAAACGAATACCGATCCAACGTGTGTGGTTTCAACAGGATGGGCAAGAGCCCACACAACTAATGCATCAATGACCGTCAGTCGCCCTCTCTTCCCCGGTCATGTCATTTCCAGGTTTGGCAACATTCACTGACCTCCTCGGTCCCGTTTATCCATGTGAGATTATTTCTTGTGGGGTCTCCTCAAGGCACGTGTTTACGAGCGCAAGCCACAAACACTGGAAGAATTGAAGGAAGTAATTTGTGTGGAAGCTGTCCAAATCGACCGACGAATGTTGGAAAGAGAGCCACTGATCGTGGCCACCACGATGTTTTTCACATTTTCTTACAAAGTATTCCATTTTTAGGTCCCTTGCGACACTTATGCCAAAAATATTTTGTGATAAAATTGATACTTCTCTTCAACTTATGAACATGGCATAAGTGAGAAATTCAATTTTCACAAAGGTGTCCTGCAGTCCATCTTTTAAATTTAGTTTATTGTACTTGTCTTTTGGTTACCTTTCAGTACTCTCAGAGGTATAAATGAGAAAGACGTCATCGAATTTCAGTCTAATATCTCCCGGTCTATTAGGAAACATCTATAGAAGCTAAAGCTTGTGGACAGTCCGATCTGCAGAGGATGTGACTCGGCAGATAAAACTTCTCCAGGATTCGCCCAGTACAATGACACTCCTGGGAAAACCCTTTCTGGAACCAAGAAGCTGAGAGAAGTGTCGGCAAGAAAGCTTTTGGGCTTAGTAAAAAGGACAAAACTATTAGCTGAATAGGTTCGAACAGTGGGATGCGCAATAGGTCTGATAAGGCCACGGCGCTATGGGACAGGAATAGAACCTAACCACAAGTTAAGAAGACGAGCATAGTATAAGATTCAACCACATTGGATAATGTATAATAATAATAATAAGTTTATTCCTTCTAAAAAATTTTACAACTTTTTGTAGGAAGAAGTTCTGCACTATGTATATGTAACAAAAAAGAAAAGAGAAAAGAAAAAAAAACAGAACGGCTTACATACATAAAAAAAAACAAATCGCCAGGAACAATATTTAAGCATAAATACATTATGCCAACTGCAAACATATTAAATTAAGAACAGTTCACTCATTTAGAACAAAAGAACGAAGTCTCAAAAAATCTCTCATAAAACCTGCCAACATGCACATTGAATAATGTATATACTTGTCATTGATTTTATAAGCTATCCTTTCAGATAAGTCCAAGTAAGGACCGACGTTTGCTCACAAATGTTGACATGTCAGGATCCACTGAGCATTGCGATTGACGCCCCTAGTTCTAAAAATAGATATTTCTTCTCAAATTTGATGCACAACTATTTTAGATGATAAATAATTGTAGAGTTATTGAAAAAAAACTAACATTTTCTGAAAAATGCACCAATGTATAAAATTATAGCAGGCAAGGTGTTAGTAGTAATGGAAAACCAATAATTGTCAAATGATGACCTATAAAAAATATTCCCACTTAATTTTACCAGCTACCTTGTATTTAAGGGGGTATCACAATGAAAACCAGACACACTTTATATAAAAAATTTGAGTTTTCTGAGTGGAGCAATCAATTTTACAATCGACAGATATGTGTTTTCATTAAATAGATATAAAAAGTTGAGAAAAAAATCAACTTATTTATGAATGGAAAAAATAAATATACTTTACTCTACATATCAGAAAAGGGACATTTTAAGAATACTTGTTTATATGAATATGAAATTTTATTCTTAAAATAATTTGGAATGATCAGGAAACACCATAAGGTAGGTAAATGTTATTAATTTTAGTTTACAAAGTATTTGTTTTTCTTACCCATTTAATTGCTGCCCTAAATTTTTTGTAGACTCTTGAGAAACTCTATGATAAACAACTTCAGTTCTTGAAGATACATTTTCCCAATTATAATATTTCCTAATACGCATATTGCATTCATAGGGGCATACTACTTTACCTTCTTTTAAATCGCTTATTGCTTTATCCAAACCTTGAAATAAATTGTAAATACTATTACATACAAAAAACATTAAATTAAATGGGAACATATTAAGAAAATAGGTATATTCATACGAGGCTAACATTTTTTTTTATATAGTCAATATTTAACTTTCCAATAATCAAAAACAATGGATATTATATAGTAATATCAGATATTGCAATTATATGTTAATTGTATTACCTTTCATAAGGGCTGGAACATTAGGTTCTGTTAAATAGATTAAATCTTCTGGCAAAACTTCTGGAATACCACCTACTTTAGTAGAAACAACCAATAATCTAAAATAAAAAATAATATTCATAAACATCAGTGAATATTTATAATTTCTGAGCTGAAAAAGTATTTGTAAGAAACTTGGAACATGAATTTCACGCAAAAGGTAGCAAAGCAGTATTTCAAAATTAGAATATTTTTTTAAGTAGGTAATAAATGGATAATTGACTATAATTATGTACATATTTTTCATAAAAGTAAGTATTTACCCACAAGCAGCAGCTTCTACAATAGCCATACAATATGCTTCTGTCAGAGAAGTGTTAAGAAATATATCACCTTTTATCAACACATCCCTTACTTTAGAATGTTCTAAACTGCCTAACAGTGTGACCCTGTCTTGAAGGCCTTTCCTTTCTCGAATCTCTTCAAGTAACCTATATAGTGCATAAAATATCAATAACAAGAAACATGTATAGTACCTACTTAACATGCGTCAAGGACAAAATTTGTTACTTGAGTGTAGTTAGCCCCCAAAGTTAGCCCCTAAGACGGAACAGCCGGACAAGACGAAATGACCTAAGGAATAGTTGAAAGAGGTGTACTATAACGCATTTCTACCTTCAAACCGACTTCTCCGTTTCGGGGGTGGAAATGGCGTGACTTACAAAGTTAGCACCCTATTTTTGCTATTACTCTCATCGTACCCGGACAAAACGAAATAACCGGACAAATCAATTTGATGGTAGAAATGCATTATAGTACACCTTTTTCAACTATTCCTTAGGTTATTTCATTTTGTCCGGGTACAATGAGAGTTATAGCAAAAATAGGGGGCTAACTTTGTAAGTCGCCCATTTCCACCCCCGGACCGGACAAATCAATTTGATGGTAGAAATGCGTTATAGTACACCTTTTTTCCTTAGGTTATTTCGTTTTGTCCAGGTACGATGAGAGTAATAGCAAAAATAGGGGGCTAACTTTGTAAGTCGCGCCATTTCCACCCCCCGGACCGGACAAGTCGGTTTGATGATAGACATGCGTTATAGTACACCTCTTTCAACTATTCCTTAGGTCATTTCGTCTTGTCCGGGTACGATGAGAGTTATAGCAAAAATAGGGTGCTAACTTTGTAAGTCACGCCATTTCCACCCCCGGACCGGACAAGTCGGTTTGATGATAGACATGCGTTATAGTACACCTCTTTCAACTATTCCTTAGGTCATTTCGTCTTGTCCGGGTACGATGAGAGTTATAGCAAAAATAGGGTGCTAACTTTGTAAGTCACGCCATTTCCACCCCCGGACCGGACAAGTCGGTTTGATGGTAGACATGCGTTATAGTACACCTCTTTCAACTATTCCTTAGGTTATTTCATCTTGTCCGGGTACGATGAGAGTTATAGCAAAAATAGTTGTCTAACTTTGTAAGTCGCACCCTCTCCACCCCCGGACCGGACAAGTCACTTTGATGGTAGAAATGTGTTATAGTACACCTCTTTCAACTATTCCTTAGGTTATTTCGTTTTGTACGGGTACGATGAGAGTAATAGCAAAAATAGGGGGCTAATTTTGTAAGTCGCGCCATTTCCATCTCCGGACCGGACAAATCAATTTGATGGTAGAAATGCGTTATAATACACCTTTTTCAACTATTCCATAGGTTATTTCGTTTTGTCCGGGTACGATGAGAGTAATAGCAAAAATAAGGTGCTAACTTTGTAAGTCACGCCATTTCCACCCCCGGACCGGACAAGTCGGTTTGATGGTAGACATGCGTTATAGTACACCTCTTTCAACTATT